TTACGAACAGATAGATACGTGACGAATGATGTCATATGGTAGAGACGAACAACTGCAACGAGACAGAAGCAGAACGATCAGAAAGTAATCAGCCAGCAGAAAAGCCAACCCCTTCACTTTCACTGCGCCTCTAGGTTTCGTGTACTTGTGATTTCCACACTCATTGACTTGCGCACATGTTAAACTCCTTGGTCCGTGTTTCAAGACGGGTCGGGTGGATCGTCTACCACTACGCCACAGACTATAGACGACAAATGTATTGGACATATACAACAGAGCAACGACAACAGAGATAGAATCGGGTAGAAAAGTCCAAAACACCTCCATCATTGCATAACTCTGTCATGCACAGCCCGGCTAGCAAGTGCCGTCGCCTACAACACCACTAGCAAGCCGCCGCCTACAACACCACTAGCAAGCCGCCGCCTACAACACCACGAGCAAGCCGCCACCAGGTCGAATTGACTCAACAACAGGTGACCAGACTTGCCACGCGCCGGCAGGCTATAGAACACTCACCGTTGCCAACACGTCGACAGCTCCACCGCACTACACAGTTTTAAAAGCCCCCAGGGCCGGCTGTAACACTCAGCAGAGATGAATACCTCCACCAAGCCACCTGCCATCCCGAACCAGGCTGAACCATGAAAAGCTCAACCAGGTCAGTTGGCCCTGGCAGACTAACGGCGATCGTGGCTTACACCCTGAGAAAGTGCACCGGCCAGCAGCTGGGTCTATGTACATAGTCATGCTAATAATCTTTAATTATTATGCGATTGATTTATTTTCATCTTATCAGCTACAAACAGTTGTTTACTAACATTATTATTGTTACAATATATTTATGATAAATCCACTGTCAACTCAGAATAATAGATATCAAAAATATTTTTTAATGTATAATGATTTAGTTTAATACAAGTTAATATCTTCGAAATCATTTCAATATATACTTTAGAATCTACTTTACTTAGATTAAAAAACATTTTATTGTTTAATACTTTTAAAATTAATTAACTAAATCTCATTAGTTTTCTTAGACCATTTTAGACCTCATTGGAATTGCTCGACATATTCTATAATTAGAATTATTTTCTTTAAGTACCATCTAATTGAGATCTTATTGCAATAATGCAATACATCATTGATTTGTTTTTCAGACTTATCATTATCCATATTATGTGGTTATCATTATTGTCTTCTTACATAGTAAACAATTTTGTTTAATATATAGGTATCTATATTATCCTATTATTAACGTATATTTGATTACAATGAATAGCATTGATAACAAAGTATTTTTCCACTTGCAAATACAAATGATTTATTTTGCATCAGATGAAGATTTTTATATTGGTCATCATTGAATCATGGTTAATATATCAGAAATACACGCATACAAATGGATCGAATATCAAATTCTACACAAATTGAGATATACTTTTATACGTTGAAGTATTGAATGCATATATATTCATTTATATCAATCTCTTAATTTTTCTTATGTTACATCAAATAATATATTAATTTCTTTCTCGAAAACTATCTGTTCGATAATAGATTAATATATTTAAATGTTAAATAAGACAATTTGCTATCATTTTATGATGCAGTATATCTTTATCAGGGTATAATATTTCCAAGATATTTAATTTTAGTATAATGTTCAATTTAGATGCGATTTTTTTATTTTCATTATTTCTGCTACAAAATGTTGATTACCAACATTATTATTGTTAAAATATATTTATGAGACATCCACTGTCAAATCCGCTCATAGATATCCAAATTAGATGTTTTATATTAATATATATTGATTAATATTAATACAAGATA